GAAACAGCCAGGCAATATCTTGAAGGCTTTGCTGCTTAGAAATTTCTACTGCCAGATACCTTAAAACATCTCTCTCAAGTTCAAATTTCCACAGATCTCTAGAGCAGAGGTACAATGTTGCCCATCTCTTTGCTAAAGCATAGCAAGAGTGACCATTGCTCCAATTCCCAGTTAGTTCCTCATCTCCATCTGAGACCTACTCAGCCTGGACTTCACTGTTCATGCCACTATCATTTTGGTCACAAGCATTCAATAAGTCTCTAGAAAGTTCCAAACTTTCTCACATCTTTCTGTCTTCTTCTGAGCCCTCCAAATTGTTCCAACCTCTGCCTGTTACCCAGTTCCAAAGTCACTTCCACATTTTCAGGTATTTTATAGCAGTACGCAAAACTCCTGGTACCAATTTTCCATATTAGTGCTTTTTCACATTGCTATAAAAAACTACCTGAGACTGGGTTATTTATAAAGCAAAGAGGTTTAATTAACTTACAGCTCCACAGGCTGTCCAGAAAGCATGGCTAGCGAGGCTTTAGGAAGCTTACAATCATGGTGATAGGTGAAGGGGAAGCAAGTGTGTCTTACCATGGTGGAGTGGGAGAGAAAAAGAGTGAAGGAGGAAGTGCTATACACTTTTAAACAATCAGATCTCATGAGAACTCACTTACTATGAGTGAGAACAGCAAGGAGAAAATTTGCCCCATGATCCAGTCACCTCCCACCAGGTCCCTTCTTCAACACTGAAGATTATAATTCAACAGAGATTTGGGCAGGACACAGAACAAAACTATATCAACAAGACAGAAAAATCTTGACTTGTCAATACAATGTTTGATAAATTTCATCAGATTAAAAGTTAAAGTTCCTAATATGAAAGGTAATGTAAACACAATTAAAATATAAGCTAAGATGGGAAGAAGCAACATGTATAATAGACTTACAATGCAGTATACACACACACACACACACACACACACACACACAAACACACACACACATATGCGTGAACACTCAATGAGTTAATATGAAATAGTTAACACAGGAGAAACATGCATATAATTGTTGCACAAGTATTCACAAAAGACAGAAACTCAATATCATATAAATAAGACAGGATGTTTAAACTTACCAGTAATCAGAGAGATGCAAATTAAACAACAAAATAAGATACCATTTCTCACCTATAGCTTGGTAAAATTAAGAAATTCTGAAAATACCAAGTTTTGGCAAAGGTGTAAAGAAATAAAAACTTTTATAATGCTTAAGGAATTGTAAATTTCTACAACCATCTTGGAAAACAGTTTGGGAACATCTAGCAAAATTGAACATGTGCATACTCTAGAGCATATACTTGGCATTTCTGTTTCTAAGTATAGGACTTAAGGAAACTTTCATACATGTTTATAAGGAGAGTCACATAAGGGTGTGTATTGAAGTAAAGTTTTAAATAACATAAATCTAAAAAGAATCTACATGTCTATCAATGGGCAAATGGAGAAAGAAATCTATTCATGAATGAAATAGATTTATATGTTTCAATATGAATAGATTTAAAATGTAGTAAAATAAGGAAATCACAAAGGGATTAATATGAGTGATTTATATAAATTAGAAAAACGCATTTTCCATATATACTTTTGCATTTATTGTTTTAACAAAGCTATGTAATATAGACTGGAAGACACACATGATATTCATGACAGTAGTGCCTCTTGGGGAGGAAGATGGAGATTTACAATGAGGAGGTGGCAGACAGGAGTCCAACTTTGTCCATTTTTATATCTTCTATCTTTTAAAAATGTAGCTGAAGCTGGAAGCAAGTATAAAGTCATCTTAAAATCCTAGATGGCTCATGCCTGTAATACTAGCAATTTGGGAGGCCAAGGCAGGTGGATTTCCTGAGCTCACGAGTTCGAGACCACCCTGGGCAACATGGTGAAATCCTGTCTCTACTAAAATACAAAAAATTAGCCTGGCGTAGTGGCATGTACTTGTAGTCCCAGCTACTTGGCAGGCTGAGGCACGAGAATCACTTGAGCCCCAGAGGCAGAGGTTGTGGTGAGCCAAGATCACTCCACTGCACTCCAGCTTGGTCTACAGAGTGAGACTCCATCTCAAAAACAAAAATCCTAGGTGTTTAGTGTGATATTTGTCATATTTTTATGTATTTTCAACATTTTAGCAAGAAACAAGAAATCCTCACTTTAGCCCCATTACCATATACCTCATTACTAGTATTATTCAATCTTAGTACTGAAATTATTTGATCTCATAGAGAAAAACACTAACTGGGTGTTTTCATAAGCATTAATAAACTATTGGCTATTCAGGTCTTAAAAATTTCTCTGTTGGTTAGTATTGTCCAGAGGTCTTATTCTGAACAAGAACACAGGAGTAGGGAATTGAGTAGTGTTTTTAAAAGTAAACATGTGATAGCTACACAAAAGAAAATTCCAAATTCGAATGCTCAGGATATGTGTTAGACCTGGTGAAAAAGCCATTTCTGCAGTTTTCTTGATCTGCTGGGAATGTGGCTCCACTGGCATTAACCTTAAAGTCAAGTCAGGCTGGAAGTGCTCCATCCAGAATGTAGGAAACATGTAGCAAGTTGGGGTTCAAGTACAGCCAGCCACCCACTTGGGTGATTTTGATTAGAAAAGGATTTGACACAGGGAATTATTGCTTCAGTAATTGTTGGTAGTGCTGGAGGAGTCAGCTGTAGGCTGGGTTTACAAGACCAGTTGCCAGAAAATTACTAAAGGACCAGCCTAATGAGGGCACTATTTGTCTGCCTTAATCTGGAAGCTGTATGTTATATCTTAATTTGGCTTCCAGGGCCTGAGATAAGGACTTGGATGTTGATAGTTCATGTGGACAGTTTTATCCCAGAAAGCCAGGATGAGGGTCTGGGGAGACTGAGTCAGAGAGGAGTGGGGAATGGCAACAAAGTGCACCTTAATGGGAAGGTTACCACTGTAGACCTTTGAGGACCTTCTGAGGAATTAAATGGAACGCACCTGAGAACTCTCCCTTCAACAAGGAGGGGCTGAGGCATATATCCATGACACCTGCTCCCTGAGAGTTAAGGGTTGGTCTCAAGCATGTGAATGGTTGGAACTTGTGGACCGCCTTTTATGACTTTGGAGAAAGTCTGAAGGTTGAAACAGAGAAACAGACTTGCCATGGCAGCGGCTTGAGGTAGAATGTAGGCAGCTTCCCATCCCAGCTTCTCTAAAACCAAGTGGGATGAGGGGATGTAGCATGGAGCATGACAAGTGTCTGCTTTTTTGGGGGAATCAGATTCTCAGCAGTTAGTTACAAACTGACACTATCATAATGTCGATCTGAGGGTCAGGAAGATGTTACTGCAAATCTTGGCAGAGAGCTATGTCACCCACTCTAGATCTGTCCCTGAAAAATGCACCTCACCTACTGCCTCCTGTCTTCGTGGTTAATACAGTTCTGGAACAGATGCCCTCAGTGGGCACAGCTGGTAGAAGTAACCTAAATCAGAACCAGAACTCTAGCTGCAAGGGAGTGTAGGATATGTGGGTTTTAGAATTCCAACATCTGCAGGACCAGAGTGTCAGGGTCTGACCCACAGACCCTGACTTAGTGGTGGATGAACAAATTCACTCAAACACAAATCTCCAGTAAAAGAGTGGGCTGGGGGTCTGTGGCCGTTCACAGACAGTCCTGATAGAGATAGAAGCCATGGCCCCGACCAGCTGATACTCTAGGCATTTATTCAGTATAGATTTAATAACAGAGGCTCTGAGTCAACACACTTATGGATAATGATGAAAGGCCAGGTTCCAAGGCCTAAAGCAAACACCATTTGCAGGTGATAAATGTGGTTGCCCTCCCCCTGAGAGAGCCATCAGGCTCTTTAAGGATTAAAGATTAAAGGTTAGTTTTGGGACCAAATGAGTAAACGAGTTATTTGGATAAACTCCCCCACATTCCCTAGTTTTCTGCTTTTCATCACCTAAAGGTAAAACGGATTAGGTTGCCTTCAGCTGAAACTTCTCCTGAAACTATGCAAACTTCTCAGGCTTCTAAAAAGGTTTGTGATTATATTCTATACTTTTACAATTTTTCCAACCATCCTGACTGAACCCCCACACCGGAGGAGACCTTGGAAGATTGATACAGATATTGAGCTGGCTGGATTTACCCTAACTGCCCACACATCTACATCAGATTTGTTATTAAATCTACATTGCTTTGTTATTTTGGTAAGGCAAGGACTTCTCTTGAAGCCTGCCTTTGAAGTCTGTCCCCACACAGGCCATTCTCCAGGTTGTCTCATTGAAGAGGGAGAGACAATATCATCTTTCAGGGACAGCAACCTCTTCAACACTCATAGAGCTCCCTGATTTGTTCTTTCAGTTCTCATCACAATTGTAATTATACAATTATTGTATACGCTGAGGATTTAGCATCTGTCTTTCTGCTAGACCAGATGCCTGTGGGGGCAGGATTCATGCCTCGGGGTTTACTTTTATCCCTAGCACCTAGAGTATGCCTGGCAATGGTATGTAATCACACAATGTGTATTATTTGAATAAATGAATAGAAAAAAAAGGCCATTTCCATCCAAAAATTGAATGGAAAAGCTACAGTTTATGTTTCCTTTATCTATAAATGGATGTTTTATCAGTGCGTAAGGAATAAAACAACCTACGTTCAACATTGTTTTTGAAAATAAGTACACTAAGAGAAAGGTCTGGTCTAGAGTGACTGAATTATTCTACTGAGGGAATGTGATATTTTTGGCTCTAGCTGTTAACTAAAGGCTACTATTTCCAGTCCTGGTCTGGAACAGACATTAGTGAGCCAGGCAGGCAATCACAGAGAGTGAGAGAGAAAGACAGAATGATAATTTTCTACTCTGATTAGTCTGGAGCATCTAAAAGCAATATACTGGGTAACATAAGAAAACATCAGGAAGAAGGAATGAAGTTGCTTATGAAATTCTATTAATGGGGATTTTCTTTTTCTGCAATCAATATATAATTATGTATTTAAATTTTACCTTACATACGTAAGATCACAGCTAAGGACGTTAACCATAATTTCAAATTTTATCACCAGCCACTTGTGCTATTTTATCACATTTGCAAATATTTACTCATTATTTACTTCAAACAGTGATCTATAAATTTGTTTAGATCGTAATAATTAAGGACCTTTTCTTCTTTAGGATAATTAAAAAAATTAAATGATGTACTAAATATACTACTAAAGAAAGTTTACTTTTTGATTATGGCCTCTACATTGAAGATCTGTAGGAATTTTTCTAATTAATTTTCAAATCTTCCCATGACCTCTCTGTAGAAATATCATCTTTGAAATAATTTGTGTGACTACTTTACAAATCAAAAATGGATTCACCTGACTGTATTATCATAATCACTAATTTTAATAGTCTCCTAGATATTTTCTGTGTCACTTTTCTTGATTATAAAATGTCAGTAATATGAACAGGCTCTTAATATAACAGAATATTTCATTGTATCAGTTTCCCATCAAACCATCAAAGTCACTTAATAATTATATTGACCATTTCCACTGATCAGCAGGAGGCTCTTCTATTAATGGCTCCCATGGTTTTCATTGCACCATTTTTCTTTTTTTTAAATTATTATATTTTAAATTATGACATACATGTGCAGATCGTGTAAGATTGTTACGTAGGTATACACATGCCATGGTGGTTTGCTGCATCCATCCCCCCCCCCCCATCATCTACATTAGGTATTTCTCCTAATGTTATCCCTCCTCAATCCCCCAACCCCCTGCTATCCCTCCTCTAGCCCCCCCATACCCCAACAGGTACCAGTGTGTGATGTTCCCCTCCCTGTGTTCATGTGTTCTCATTGTTCAACACCCACTTATGAGTGAGAACATGGGGTTCATTGCACCATTTTTCTTGCCAAACTTAGTTCATGTTCAGTCTTAAGAATCACCTCTTCTATATGACCACCTTGAAGTTTATCGTCTAATTTTTTAACATCTGTTTCTGCTTTAACCCAGCTTCTCATTTGTAATCTGTTCTGTATACTTTCTATGTGCTGCAATTTTAGGGATTTCCTCAAGAACATCAAGAATCCTTGTGTGCGATATTCTTAGCCTCTCGTGTGGATTCTTGCACATAGCCAATCCCACAAGGTCAGTGGTCTTCTTCAGCATACCCACCATGACAGCGCCGATGAGTTGATGATTAAGGGGCATTTTCAAAATAATGGATGTAGAGGGAAAAAATGCAATCTTTGAAACTGGGAGGTATATTGTACAGGATGCCTTATAAGATTCCTTCTAGTTTTAACTTAGCTGACTCTCTGAATAGATACAGATCTTCTTAATTATTATTTGGGCTATTTCTTGTTCCCCGCAATGTTTTAGATGTATTTTTTTCCCACTCCATGGAATAAACCTATTATTATTACTATTTTCATTGTATAGAGAAGAACACTGGTGATTGGAGAGGTTACTGATGTACGCAAGGTCATACAGTTAACAAGTGAAGATTTCTAGTTCTTGCATGCCTGATACCATTGTGCATATCTTAACCACTGTTCATGACCCCAGGATGCAGGGTCAGCAGACCTGGGTTTAAATTCAGGCCTTCCCTTTCCTTACTGGCTGTGTGGCTAAAACCAGCTGGGCCTCAATTCCTTCAGCGGTAAGATGTAGCTAACACTTGCTTTGCAAGACAGTAGTGAGAATTGGCAGCCACAAATATGGAGCATTTAGTACACAGTAGGCACTTGATACATAGTATTGCTACTTTGTGTAGACGACTAGGAGACAGTGAAAGGACAGGGTGCCCAGGATCTGGTGTGAGGAGGTGTTGAAGAGGCATAGAGCACCCACCTGTCTGCTGACTTCCAACAGGTAGGCTGTGAGCCCCTTATCTTTTCTGTACTCTATCCTCCAAAAATTTGCAGAGTGCAGGCCACACACTTGAAGCACAATGCTAATTTTAATGTGGTGCTTGAGTCCCCATGAAAGGTGCAATACTCAGAAGTGTTTTTATCTTATATCCATGCAATTGCCATTGCAGTCAAGACTGTGAAATATCCATAATTCCCCAAAGTTCCCTTGTACCCCTTTGCACTCTCTTCTTCCAGCCCCTTCCTCATGTCCCCAGGCAACCCTGATACAATGTCTGTCACTATACATTAGTTTTTCTAGAATTTGATCTAGGCAGAATAATGCAATACGTACTTATTTTTGTCTGCCTTTTTTGCTGAGCATAAATGACTTTGAGATCCATTCATGCCACTGCTTGTATTAATAGTTTATTCTTTATATTGCTGATTAGAATTACTTTGTATGAAGACACCGCAGTTTTCACAGTTTTTAAAATTTTTAATAGATTTATTGAGGTATAATATAAACTATAGAAAAAACCATACCTATTTAATATATACAATTAGATGAGTTTGTATATATATATATATATATATATATATATATATATATATACCTGTGAAACCGTAATTATGTACAATCAACATCAGGATAACAAACATTTAATACTTGCAAAAATTTTCTTGTACCCTTTGTGGTACTTTGATTTTCAGTGGTAAGAACACTTAACATAAGATCTACCTTCTTAAGAAAATTGTAAAGTGCACAAAACCATATTGTTAACTGTACACACTGTTTTATGGCCAATACCTAGAACTCACTCATCTTGCGTAATTGAAACATTTTACCCATTGAATGACAGCTGACCATTTTCCCCTCTCCCAAGCTTCTGAAAAACTCCATCAACTCTTTGAGTTTGACTATTTTGTATATCTAATACAAACGGTTCAATATTTGTCTTTCTGTGACTGGTGTATTTCACTTAGCATAATATTTCCTAGATTCATTCATGTTGTTGCAGGTGGTAAGATTTCCTTTCTTTTTAAAGACTGACTTATATTCCATTGTATGTATGTACCACATTTTCTTATCTATACATATGTTGATGAACATTTAGATTGTTTTCTTATCTTGGCCATTATAAATAATGTTGCAATTGACTTGAGAGTGCATACATCTATTTGAGATCCTAATTTCAATCCTTTTGGATATATATCCAAAAGTGGGATTGCTATGATAGGGCCCTTATGTCTTTAATTTTTTGAGGAACTGCCATACTATTTTCCACAGTGGCTGTACAATTTTACATTCCCATTAATAGTCTATGGAGTTCCAATGTCTACACATTTTCCCTACTACTAGTTATTATTATATTTTAATACAAGTCACCCCAATAGGTATGAGGTGATATGTCATTGTGGTTTTGATTTGCATTTCTCTGATGATTAGGGATGTTCATATACCTGTTGGCCATTTATATGTTTTCTTTGAAGAAATGTCTATTTCAGTCTTTTGTCCATTTTAAAAATTGAGTTATTTGTTTTTAATTTTGCTATCGAGTTGTTATATTTAATTTTGCTATTGAGTTCCTCATATATTTTGGATACTAATCCCCCATCAGATATATAGTTTGCAAATATCTTCTCCTATTTCTTAAGTTGCCTTTCACTTTGCTGATTACTTTTACTATGCAGAAGCCTTCCCATTTGTAATCCCCCAAAATTTTCCTAATTTTGCTTTCATTGTTTGTGCTTTTGGTGTCATATTTAAGAAATCACCATCAAGCTCAATGTCATAAAGGATCCACTCATCTCTTGGTGGACTTTGGGTTGTTTCAATTTTTAAATTATTTCCAATAAAGCTGATATGAACATTTGTGTACATGGCTTTATATAGACATATTCTTTCATTTATTTTGGATTAATATATAGAGGATCATGGGGTAGATAAATATTTTAATTTTTAAAGAATTTACCAAACTGTTTTCATCAGAATTGTTTTAATGTTTTCCTCATATAGATGTTTCACGTTCTTTATTGACATTATTCTCAATTATTTATTTTTCTTTGTTGTTATTGTAACAAGGAATAGTATTTTCTCTACCACATTACATCATAATTGACTATTATTTGTGTACATAAAAATTATTACTTTCTGTAGATTACTTCTTTTATAATATTGTAAGTTATTATATTTTATTTGAGTTCATTTTATCATTTATTAATATCACTGAAAATAGAGACAGCTTTACTTATTCTTTATCAATTCTCATGCCTTGAGTTGATTTGCTTTGTCTAATTGCATTGGCTAATATGTGCATTACAACGTTGAGTAGTAGAGGAGATGGTAAACCTACTTTTCTTGTTCCTGATCTTAGAGGAAAAGACTGCAGTATTTTTCCACTAAGAAACATACTACTAAGAAAAAATTCAACAATTCCTATTTTCTTGAATGATTAAACATAGACTACATGTTGAATTTTGATGCTTTTCAAACATAGGTGGTGATAATCACATTTTTTCCTTTGATCTATTATTTTAATGGATTATGTTAATATAATTTCTAATATGAAACCAACCTTCTATTCCTGGCATAATTGTCATTTGACCATTTGATTTCATTTTTGAAAGATGTTTGATTTTAGTTGGTTATGGAGATCTCATTTAGCAGTTATTTTATTTCAGTACTTTAGAGATATCATTGCATTGACTTGCTTCTGTAATTTCTGTTGGAAAACTGGTGATCCAGCTTATTGCTGTGCCTTTGAAGGTAAAATATCTTTTTAAAAATCTGGTTGCTTTTAGGACTTTTACTTTATCTTTGATTTTAGCTGTTTTGTTGTGGTGTACTTCGATGTTGTTTTCTTTATATTTAAACCATGTGTGGGTTACAGAATTTCTTTAATCTTTGGCTTGATATTTTCTAATAGTTTTGAAAACTTCTCAGTCAGTATGTTCTCAAATATTTGTTTTGCCTATAGTCTCTCTCTTCTCATTTTGAGATTTTAATCACACACATATTAGATGTTTTCAGTATGTCTTATACTGTTTCCTGTCATTTCTACCTTAAATTTTCTTATATGCTTTAATTTAATTATTTTCTGGTGACTCCAGGGTGGTAATCATCACTTTAGCTGTTTCTAACCTGCTATTAAAACTGTATATTGTATTATCAGTTTTATTTAACTGTTTTTATTACTAGAATTCCTATTAGGTACTCTAAAAAATAGGCTTTGTTTTTTTTTTTCTGATAATATTTTCCACTTAGAAAAAACCTATTTCCTTAAGTAGATTATTTTAAGCTTGGGGATAGTAAAGTCTTTGTTTAATAAACCCAACGTATGGATAACCTGAAGGTCTAGTTGCCATTTTTTTCTTCTCTTTCTCTCTCGGTTTTTATTTATTTGTTTTCATGTTCTGGTATGCCTATAAATTTTTGATCAAATGTTAGATATTGTGTATAAAAAAATACCAGGCATAGTGACATGTATCTCTAATCCCAGCTACTCAGAAGGCTGAGGTGGGAGGATTTCTTGAGCCCAGGAGTTTGAGTCCAGCCTGGGTAACATAGTGAGACCCCCATCTCTAAAAATAAAATAAAAATGTATAGGCTTTGGGCGAAGTGGTCTATCTCCAGTTAAGATTCAGTGTTCTGTGGCAGGCAAGTGTATTTCATTAGAAAGCCTGTGGTATGGAGCAGGACTCTTCCTCTTGGTAGGGCTTGGACTCCAGTGTTTGCTTCCCTAGTCCTGTGTTGCAGAATATGTTTTCAGGTTTTAAGCCTCTTATTAGCTGCCTTCTCCTTGGTGTCTATACACAGACTGGAATGTCATACAATTTTTCAAAGGGAAATTTCATGCTGATTTTCTCTGGAGTTCCTTTTCTTCTGAGACATTGGTCTCTCGTACCCTGGCTTCTTTGTTAGCCCTGAACTTAAATGCTCCTATCTAGGTCAGGGAGACTTTCACAAGTTCTAGGCTTTCTTTTGGACCTCTTTACCCTGTGCTGTGAACTGGCAAGTGCCATAACAGAAGACAACAGCACCAAACACAAGGTTAACTTCTAGGCCTTTCCCTTCTCTGGGGATTTTGCCCTCTTCAGTCTCAATTACTGTACATTGATTGCTCTAGGATACTTTCAACAGCTGCTTTTCTTTTATATATATCCAGATTTTATAGCTGTTATTTTTTGGGAGCATTAGTTTGATACAAGATGTTTTATGATAAGTGAAAGCAGGGTTCCTCCTTATTTTTTAAATTAGGTTCATTTTTATACAAACCAATTACCTATTTTAGCCTCGTTTGAAGAGATATTTATGAAACCAGA